AAATATCGATGGGTCCCCATGCCACAGGTAAAATAATCCATTATCAAAGAAATAAAAATACAATAGTTTCGATCTAGTAATTTCACAAAATTAACTAAAACGCCAAAAGAAAATAAAAAACAACTCCATCATTTTCTTATTCTTTTTCACTTGTTGGAGAAGTCAAATCAAACCCTCAAGTCTTGACTTCACTTCACTATTGTATCTGACTGCAACTTGTGGGATTAAGATTCATCAATCTTAACTCACGTCAAGTAGCATGACCTTTGAGTAGGATTATATGTCAATCACGTACATGTGTGTTCTCTTCAATTACGGTTGAAGAAAATGGTTTGCGTTGAGGAACTTTATTTGAATATCAGTCGGTCAGAACTTACTGGAGATAGTCGGAATGTGTCTTCATACAACAGATTTGCCGACAGTCGCAGTTTTCTCTTAAAGCTTTATATCTTTTTTTTACGTGTCCAGTAATGATCTTCTTTTCCTTTATAAAGATCCATCAAGTTTTTTGGACCGTCTCTTACCTATAAATAATCAAGATGTACACGTTAAGAATCAAGTAGTATATAGTTGATAAAAGAAAATTTATCAACTATGGAAAGTAAAATAACATCACATGAAAATCTAAAATATGTAGCCTAGGAATTTTACCTATGGGACCTAGTTACCTGTTTGGACTCCATCAGTTGAAAACGTTTTGCACATCTTTCGTCCTTCAAAAATCATTCTAATTTAAAGCAAGCTAATAAATAATTAATAGGAAAATATAAGGAATATTTTATTACAATACCAAATACATTTGGTTCTTTTCACTACGTCTAAAATCTGTTGTACATAGCATTTTTCCCACGTTGTAGACATTGGTCAAAACATACTCAATACAAAAATTCCAATCTTCTACTCTGATGGTGGCTTTGAATTCACAGCCTTAAAATCAATATTAGAAACCTATAGAATTCAACATCTTAAGTCACCTTCTATACACCATCCACACAATGGTAGGCTAAGTAGTTGCATCACTAGCAGGAGTGAGCGCGGTCCAATTATGGAGGGAATCGAACCAAACCAAGTATTGATGGGAATGTTAGAAATGGAACCATTGTTTCCATATGTAGAACCGAACCAACCGGTTCCGATTTGGTCCGGTTTGGTTTTTTATATTAAAAAATTATAAAAATAAAGTATGATATTAGTTGTTAAATTGAAAATAGACAAAAATAGAGTATGAAACCATTTGTCATTCTTGCAATCTAACAATACAAAAAATTAATTGAACAAGACAACGAACAAAAATCCACTTAAAAACTCAAGATCAACTTATAGAAACAAAAATTTGATAGATTATTGAATACAGTATAAACGGTAAAATCTCAATCAAAAATTAATTTTTAAGAAAATCCATATGGCAATAATCTGTTTATCTTTAATAGTTCTCAAGAATTATAATTCTTGATGGCCGGTCATTTTGAAAACAACAAGAAATTTGAATTCTTATGAAATATTGAACTAAAAATATACTTTTCCTAATTTATTGCCTTAAAACCATGAATTTGTAAATATTTATAAAACTATTTAGATTTGAATTTCAATTATCTATTAATTGAAAGAAGAAGCATATGAAAAATGAAATTTTAACATGAGATAATTTTGGAATCTAGTGTTCAAAGATCTAATCCATCTTTGTTGCAAGCAAAAAAAAAATTAGAAGAACAAAATTCACTGTTGATTCTCAAACCAGTTGAGAACCGAACCGGAACCGATCGGTTCTCGATCCCAAAATCGACCCATTTAGTAGAGGAATCAGAGTCGAACCGACCAATTCTATTTGGTTCCGGTCCGGTTCCGAGAAAAAATGTCCACCCCTATGCATCACCACATTGTAGAAACCGGCCTTACTCTATTACTTCACGCTTCTCTTCCTTCTAAATTATGTAGCTTTCTCGACTAGTGTCTACTCAATCAATCGGCTCCCTATGCCTCTACTAAATTACTCGTTCATATAAATCTTTAATTAAATCCGTTCCAAACTAAGCAAAAGTTTGTACCTTCAAATATGCCTTTACTTCCCATGGCTGAAATCGAACACTTCATCCAAACTGGAGCCAAATTCTACACATTTGTGTTTTCCTTGGATATATGCTACTTGAAAGAGTGCATACCTTTGCATGGACAGCAAATCGTTCTGTATATACACTTCATGACATGTACAATTTGTAGAGAACCAACTCCCATTCTCTCCCTTTACCTCAACGCAATCTGTCCCGCTTGACCTAGCCTTTTCGGTCTGTCCATCGGTACATCTTCCTACTCCTCTTCGAATCCAATATCGTCCATGTTGCATCCCCTTTTCACTCCAGTCCCTGTTCAAACGTCATCTTTCCAGCAGGCTGCTACTCCATCATTGGCAATCACCTCCGAGCAGCCTTCTTAACTCCTATTGCGCCAACACCACCTCTTCACCATGTTCGCTTTCCTTGCCTACTAATATATCATATACTCTAGCCATTGAGAATATTAACGTTTTAATTCTAAAACCTGATGATAAGTTTTTTTTATTTTCATTTGTGTTTTGCCCAAACGATATAACTAAACTCAATTGTTAATATAGTTTCTTAATTTTAATTTTTTAATAAAAGCATATAATATTTATCATAAAATAAATAAAACTGATCAATTGTTAAGATAATCGGCGTAGCCTAGTTTGCATTCAATTAGTTTGTTTTGAAGTTGAGCTTGAGTTTGTATTAAATTTCTATTGTGGTTTTGAAGTGTTTTTTTTCATATTTTGGTCAGTTTCATAGATTGATTGTGAATTGTGTTCAAAATAATTATGAATAAAATCATAAATGGATTAATAACAAAACTTCATGTAGGATTATTGGCCTCCAATTACACACAATTTCCGGGCTCAGAAAAACCAATCGACACCACACGGCTTTAAACTCTTTCCTCTACTTGGTTGCTCCAAAATTCTCTCTTCTTACTAACCCACAAAGGATTGGTGATGGGTGGATGCAAAAGACCACTAAGGAATGAAGAAAACAAGCAGAAAGCAATGTACATCAAGTCACAAGAACGGCTCCCTCTCTTTTCTCTTCTTTCAATTTTGCACCACTATTTCTTCAAGACAATGGTTGTCTATATACCAATAGAAATTAGGTCTCATAATTGGGCCAAAAGAAATGGGTCAACTTAATCCAATAAATAGGCCTAACAATAAACCAAAAAAACCCCACACTAATTAAACCACCAGTCCATCTCCAACTAGGGCCTTCCAAAAGTATCGGTAGTATTTGAGTCGAGCCAAGTCTATGGTGTCGATAATTTATCCGTCAACTGTTTTAAATCATCGCCCGAAATTATTGGGTATCAAAACCCAACACTTTAAAGTCAAGAAAGGATTAATAAATAAATAAATAAAGGAGTCCCCGTGAACCCTATAAAGAAATTAGTGGTCAACTTATGATGGTGTGGTTGAGAAAATGAGACTCGAGTAATTAAAACTCGGGTAGTTGCGGTATAAACGTATTGATTGAATGTCTATTTATACACACAAGAATGTTAATGGCTTTTAGGTAAGTTTATCTGTCATGCATGAACCTACATCTCGTGACTACTAAATTTCTTGTTCATGACAAGTTATTTTCGTATAGATTTAGATCTTAATGTGTCAAATTAAAAGTTTCATTTTTTTCTCGAACGGACAATTAAAAGGTCAAAATTTCTAAACATGCGTACGTTGCAGAGATGCATNAAAGGGTTTCAGGTAATTTTCTCTAGAAATTAGGTCTAATAGTTGGGCCAAAAGAAATGGGTCAACTTAATCCAATAAATGGGCCTAACAATAAACCCAAAAACCCCACACTAATTAAACCACCAGTCCATCTCCAACTTGGGCCTTCCAAAAGTATCGGTAGTATTTGAGTCGAGCCAAGTCTATGGTGTCGATAATTTATCCGTCAACTGTTTTAAATCATCGTCCGAAATTATTGGGTATCAAAACCCAACACTTTAAAGTCAAGAAAGGATTAATAAATAAATAAATAAAGGAGTCCCCGTGAACCCTATAAAGAAATTAGTGGTCAACTTATGATGATGTGGTTGAGAAAATGAGACTCGAGTAATTAAAACTCGGGTAGTTGCGGTATAAACGTATTGATTGAATGTCTATTTATACACACAAGAATGTTAATGGCTTTTAGGTAAGTTTATCTGTCATGCATGAACCTACATCTCGTGACTGCTAAATTTCTTGTTCATGACAAGTTATTTTCGTATAGATTTAGATCTTAATGTGTCAAATTAAAAGTTTCATTTTTTTCTCGAATGGACAATTAAAAGGTCAAAATTTCTAAACATGCGTACGTTGCAGAGATGCATAACGTGAAAACGACTACTCTTATAATACCAAGAACGGACACGAATACTCTTCTTGCAAAACAAAACGATTATTATTCTACGTAGAAAGACATAAGTTCGGAAAATAAAAAATTAATTCCTTACAAAAATTTAATCCAAGTTTTATTTATCTTCAAGGTAATTTGTCTAGTAATATACTGATATTGAACTATATTCTATTAAATCTGTATTTTCTCCTTAAAAAATTGAGTAGAAGTATTTATGCATGTGCTCAAATTACATTGAGACAAGGCAATTATGTTGGGAAATAGAAGAACCTGGTCCTGGAGTCTTCAAGTAACAATAAAACTTGGTCCGAAGACACAGGGTTTAGCTTCAAGGACAACAAACTCTCTTTCTCTCTCTTAATTTTGTTTCAAGAACAACCGGCAATAGACTAGGTCTCTCTCATTCTCTCTCTTCCTGTGTACACATACACTTGCACATTTTGATTCTTCATTCTCGTCCTCATTTCGTTTTACACATCTCTTTTCTTGGAAGAGGAAAGACAGCCTTCGTGTGTTTCTTTCTCTCTCTAGATTTCTTGTTTCTTGTGGGCAAATAGATCGATAGATACAGTTTTAGGGTTTAAAAGAGAGAGAATGTCCACATATGCAAGGATATGCAATGCCTTACATGGGTTGAAACCAACCCTGTTGATGATATTGGCACAAACTATAATTGCTTGCTTAAATGTTGTCTATAAACTGGCATCCAATGATGGCATGAACTTGCAGATTTTGGTGGGCTATCGGTTTCTGTTTGGCGCAGCTTTTATTGTTCCTATTGCATTCTTTTACGAAAGGTTTCAATTATTTTTTTCATTTTGAACACGTCAATTCTACATGCCAAGATCATTATGAATCCAGAAAACTATTTCATTGAAAAATACCAAAAAAAAATTGTATTATTAAGAATCTTGTTGCTTTATACGTTTTACTACCAATTCCAATGTCTTTGAGAAAATGCTTTCGTTGTCTAGCATAATATTGATTATACTTACCTTTTTCTTACTTTGAGGGAAATTTTTCATCTTATGGGAAGATAGGAAATGTGTAATAAAGGAAAACCGAAATAATCGTTCATTCACAAACACGTGCGCGCGCACTTTATATTCGATTAGTTACTCCTGAATCAATATAGATGTTGTGGATTTGCAATTTCAGAAAAAAGAGGCCAAAGTTAACATGGATGGTGCTCTTCCAAGCATTTCTTTGTGGTATATTTGGGTAAGTTAAAGATTTCTATGGCTGAATCTTTTTACTGATCATTTAAGAGTGTTTGATGCATATTAAAATGGAATGAATATATTTATTTTTTTTGTGATCTGATGGTGAATATGTGGTTGAAAAAAAAAATAGTAAAAGGATATTTTGGAAAGGGTATGGTTGAATTTGGGGCATTTTCAATAATTTCTCGAGTGGAAGGCAGCTCTATTGGTAGGGATTATACCCATGAGTGCATGGGAGAAATGTGCTACCTTGGTTAGTACTTGATGCGTGTTGTTTGGACTTTGACCCCTTCTTGCAATTGACATTAAGAGTGTTTGATACACATTAAAATGGAAAGAATATTTTTTTTTTTTTTTTTTTTTTGTGATCTGGTGAATATGTGGTTGAAAAAGAAGGAAAAATTGTTAATGTGATAGAAAATATTATTTTATTGAAAAATATGTGGTTAAAAATTAGTAGAAGAATGAAAATGTGACTCAAATAGGGGCTTAATAACTTGGTTCATATATGTTTGTGGCTCTCCTTCTTCCTTCATAATATTACCAAGCGATGCATTCAAGAAATCACACTTTAGGGCAAACTCCAACGGCAAATTCACTTTCTAATAATAGTTTCCCAATTAAAAAATAATCGCCACAACTATTTTCTGAAATGCACGTTTCCCTGAAATTATGAGAAACTTCGCTGAAATTATTGGAAGGATCGCGATTGAATTTGTGAATAATTGTCTTGCGTATGTGTGTGTATACATCTTATTGCCAGAAACAGAAATTTGAATTGTTGTATGTGCGAGTATTTAGATAGCAATATATTGTGTATGTGAATGGACGCAGACCTGTAGTTACATTTGGTTAACTGGTGTCCAAAAAACATGTGCTTTGGCGTTACATTGAACTAATTGAATGAAATGAACCTTTTGTTTACAGAGGGGCATTGGGGCAAAATCTTTACTTAAAAAGAGTGTTAGATGGATATTATTGAGGAACGAATATATTTTAAATAGTGATATGATGTAAAATATGTGGTAAAAAAGTAAAGAAATTTATTGATATGATGGAAAATATTATTTTATTGAAGAATATGTGATTGAAAATTAATAGAAGAATGAGAATGTGGCTCAAATCGGGGCTTAATAACTTGGTTCATATATGTTTGTGGCTCTCCTTCTTCCTTCATAATATTACCAAGCGATGCATTCAAGAAATCACACTTTAGAGCGCACTCCAACGGCATATTCACTTTCTAAGAATAGTTTCCCAATTAAAAAATAATCGCCACAACTATTTTCTGAAATACACGTTTCCCTGAAATTATGAGAAACTTCGCTGAAAATATTGGAAGGATCGCGATTGAATTTGTGAATAATTGTCTTGCGTATGTGTGTCTATGCATCTTATTGCCAGAAACAGACATTTGAATTCTTGTATGTGCGAGTATTTAGATATCAATATATTGTGTATGAGAATGGACGCAGACCTGTAGTTACATTTGGTTAACTGGTGTCCAAAAAACATGGGCTTTGGCGTTACATTGAACTAATTGAATGAAATGAACCTTTTGTTTACAGAGGGGCACACCCCGTTTTAGAAATGAATTTTTCTTTATCATTGACGTCCGCCACTTTCGCCTCAGCCACGACCAATCTCATTCCTGCCATTACATTCGTCATCGCCGTTTGCATAAGGTATCGACGGCGCAAGTTCTATTTCAAATACCAATAATCTGTAGTGATGCATTTTGCCATTAAATTATCGATATGGTTCAGGTTGGAAAAGCTGGGATGGCATACGAAGGCAGGTAAAGCAAAGGTGTTTGGAACATTACTGGGAATTGGTGGGGCGATGCTTCTCACATTCTACAAAGGGCCTGATATCAATATATGGAAGACACATATAAATCTTTTACTGACAACTACAAGTCATCCTAAGACTGTACAAACACAAAGTTCACAAGGTGGCCATTTTCTGTTGGGTTCTCTTTTATCTTTGGCAAGTTGTGTTTGTTATTCGCTCTGGTTGATTATTCAGGTGAGCCTGGCTTCGTTTCGTCTGCCTTTCTTGCTTTGCGTATCAAGATAGAAAATGAACAATTCTGTGACAGGCCAAGGCAGCTGAGCGGTATCCATGCCCTTACTCTTTTACTGCTTTGATGACCGTAATGGCAGCGGTTCAAGGCGTTGGATTTGCACTGTGTATGGAGAGAGATTGGAGCCAATGGAAGTTGGGATGGAACATTAGACTCCTAGCAGTAGTTTTCGCAGTATGTCTTAATTTCACTGAGTGAATTACTTATAATTTATTCGTAAACTAATTTGTTTGCTATATATGGTGGAGTTCTTCATTTGCAGGGTATTTTTGGTTCTGGAGTAATGTTTACCTTAGTTGCTTGGTGTGTGCGTATGAGAGGTCCACTCTTTGTATCAGTATTCAATCCCCTTATGCTTCTGCTGGTAGCCTTGGCGGGATCTTTGCTATTGAACGAGAAGCTGCACTTGGGAACGTACGTATGTGTTCTTTATGTATCATAAAAAGTTTACTAAGTTCTTATATAATGCCAATAATGATAAAGATACCAATTGAAGCAGAATGGACCAAATAAGAGATGTCTGCCTTCGTTATCGCTAAAGCTAAAGCTCAGTTTGCTAGCTCAAGCCGTACTAATTGAAAGAGGACTTCATATTGGATGATTAAGTTTGTTGCATTAAGATAACATATCCTATATATCATACATTTTAGTTGAATGGACGATGTGAAAATGAAAGTTCTCATATCTTGAATGGTTTGATATCTCTAGAGAGGTATGGATGGCAGTCGTTTCCACTTCCATGATCAAGTCAAATATTGTTCATGCGATTTTGTTCTTACATAATTTCAGTATGCATGGGAGAAGAACTAATGGAGAGTGATCCTGGCAACTTCTATCTAGTTCAGCTCCTAGGCTGATCGAGTTGGATCTTCTTGTCTCGGCTTTGACTTTACCAATTTGCTAACTTATGTTATGCATATGTTAGTTTCTTTAAGAAGATCGTACATATATATGATGGTATATTTAGTAGGTTGGACGAGACAAAACATGAAAGATGTAACAGTTAGCTCTAGCATTAATGAATATGTTTTGTGTATGTTTTGTGCATGGCAGGGTGCTCGGAGCTATTTTAATCGTTTTTGGACTGTACATTGTATTATGGGGAAAAGGCAAAGAATTAAAGAGGGTGTCACAGTTGATGCCAGAAAAAAGCTCCGGAGATCAAGTAAGACAAGTTGAGATTGACATCACACCTTCGACGCCAAATAATGGCAGTAGTCATGGTGGCAGAAGTAGTGGCAGTGGTGGAAAAGAAATCTCCGAGGAAAAAGAACAAGAAGAAGAAGAGATGGGGCATTCTCGGACAAGTTCAGATTTTTTAGCGGGTCTTTACATTTATGCATAGAACAAAGATATACCATTTGATTAGATATCATATAAGTATGTACACATTTAGTTGTATTCAATTAATCACATTAGGCAAATTATGATTGAAGCGATTGATTGTGTAGCGACCGAAAACTTTTGAATAATATAAAATTA